AATGTGTCATGTTTGTCCTTCCACAGTCTCACTTCATCTCTGCCCTGACCGTGGTGTTCGTCAACTCCAAATCGTTGTCTTCGCTGAAGATTGACGACACGCCAGTTGATGATCCATCTCTGAAGGTGCTGGTGGCCAACAACAGCGACACCCTGAAACTGCTGAAAATGAGCAGCTGCCCTCACGTCTCTCCTGCAGGTACAGTCTAAGTGCATGTGTTTTTATTTATTTTCTACTTCCAGCATGAATGGAAAATGAGTATAGCGCTGTGCAAAAGTCTTGAGCCACCACTCATTGCTGCTTCTTTTTTTTTTTTTTGCTTAAAAAAAAAGAGAGACAGAATTTGGGTGTCAATGGGGGGGGGGGGCGCAAAACAAGGAGTTCGTCAGACCTTCTGAAGGTCTTTTCAAAGTTTTTCTTCAGACATTGGCTGCTTTACAGTCCTTGTACCTGAACATTTTCCAAGTAATGTTTTTGTTTATAACATTGACCTATGAATCATCTCAAGCATAAAAAGGCGCCTAACTCAAAGGATGACTATATCTTGTGTACATAACATGCCTGGATAGAAAAACCATCAATCATTGATTGGCCTTCTCAGCTGTTGAAACACATCTTTACATAGTGTTCTGTTGAGATGATCCCACAGCATTAAAGGCAGCCGACATCCAAACATAACAATTAGCATGTCCTTCAAGAATCCCGGATAACTATTGCTGAAGGCTACTTCAGTAAAGTTTGCATAACAGAGTTCAGGCTGTGTTGAAGAATAAAAGCGATCATACCAAAGTTGATCACCTTTATTGTTGCACAGACTCTGTATTTGCCTTATGCGTGGCGTTTCCATTTATGCGTCAATGTTTGAATAAACTGCTGCACATATTTTACATTTTTGAGGAACGTATAAAAAAACGAGAGGTGGCTCAAGACTTGTATACTTTACGCTGTATTGATTGAAAAATCACACAGAACTTTATTCAGAGAGATAAATTGTTTAGGTATTGACATAACTGATGAGTTGATAGCTGAACTTTATTTCTTTATTTAAAAAAACCTGAGAAGAGTCAAAACTATATGTCTGTATAACTGGTAGTGGGAAACTAACTTTTAACCTCAATGACTCAGTACATTTAGACCATCCTTCAATTTGTAGGTCTGATGAGGGACCATCTGAGATTATATGAGAGAAATCCCCTTTTCCTGAAATTCTGAGCCAATATGATTGCTGATTAAACTGCAACTTGTCAGGGGGATGCAGTCAACCTGTTCTTTGATTGAAAGTGAAAACACGATTTGAGAATTGGTCGCATTAATTGAAATGATCTGCCTGTGCTTTTAGGAATCCTGTGTGTGGCAGACCAGTGTCACGGGCTCCGAGAGCTAGCGCTAAACTACCACCTCCTGAGTGATGAACTCCTGCTGGCGCTCTCCTCTGAGAAGCACGTCCACCTGGAACACTTGCGAATTGATGTGGTGAGCGAAAACCCCGGGCAGCACTTCCACACCATCAAGAAGAGCAGCTGGGACGCTATGATGCGGCACTCGCCCAAATTTAACCTGGTCATGTACTTCTTCCTCTATGAGGACGAGTTCGGGCCCTTCTTTAATGAGGAAATCCCGGTCACACACCTTTACTTCGGGCGCTCAGTGAGCAAAGAGGTCCTGGGCCGAGTGGGCCTCCACTGCCCTCGTTTGGTGGAGCTGGTCGTGTGCGCCAACGGCCTGCGTCCTCTGGATGAGGAGCTGATCCGTATCGCCAAACACTGCACCCAGCTGTCAGCTATCGGCCTGGGTGAGTGCGAAGTGTCCTGCAGCGCGTTTGTGGAGTTTGTTAAAATGTGCGGCCGCCGACTGTCCCAGCTGTCCATCATGGAGGAGGTACTGATTCCAGATCACAAATACTCCCTGGATGAGATTCACTGGGAGGTGTCGAAGCACCTGGGCCGGGTCTGGTTCCCAGACATGATGCCGACCTGGTAGAGAGTGAAGCCTGTGCTCAGAGTTCAGTATGTCGGGTTTGTGGTGCGGAACAATCATTGCCTCCATGTTGCGTTGAAAAGCCTCAGCTGGGAAGCTCGATGACAGCATGGAGAGCATGAACTTGCTGAACTCTCGTTAGCAGTGCAGGGATGTAATGTGGCACTCGACAACAACACAATGTTATCACATTATCATGGAAATGCCACAGAATTCCTGCTCGGCTTAATCCGTAGATGGAATTCAGCAAGCTGGCTTCGACCCACAGAAGAGGAAATTTAACTAAAAAGCAATGTTTTTATAACTGCAAATGGAGTTATATGTACATTATAGGCTGGGTATGATAATCTGTGTTGTGAGAGGGGTGTGTGAGTATGTGCATTTATGTGTGAACGTGTGGGTGGGTGTTTACATGTTTTCCAACATTGAGCAGTAAATTGGGACAATTAGGTGCACAATAGCATGTTGTTACGCTACCACTTGGCCTACATAAATCCGGTGTGAGATAGCAGCTCTGCACTCTGCAATACAATATGGCATTGACCGCATGGTTGTCTGTACATAGGATGTGACAGAAGGTGTATTTGTCATGTGTGGCTGAATTTTGCAGAAGAGTAGCTGGGTCCTACACCTCATTTTAACCTAATTTAAAGAACAGTGGTTGTTTTGTTTGTCCTCCTCGCCTGGGGAGCTCCAGTCGTGTCTCACAAACCACGATTGTTGAACAAATGGAAGATGGCGGAGAGAAAAAGAAATGTGTGTGTGTGTATATAGGTGTCTAAATTGTGACGTGAAGGTGTACAGTGTTGATTGATGTCATTGATTTTTATTTTTTCTCAAAGTTATATTTTGAGGAGGTTTTTTTTTTTTTTTCTCCCCCTGCATCAAACACAAATTGGCCTGACAAATGATTTTATCTATTTTGGAAAAAGGTTTATGTACAGTTTTAGATTTCTTAAGCACCTTAGATGAATACCAAATGAGATGGAATACACCTGGTCCTTGAGACCAAATATGGTGATTATTTATACTGTACTGGGGCTTTGTTGAGTCAAATCCCCAAGTGCTGCATATTGAAGTTGTAAAGCTCTAATTAAAACAATCAAATAATTCTATGTAAATAGTGCACAGAAATGTCTGAATTTGGAGGGTAGAGATCAGCGGTCTCAGTTCTTCACGCTCAGATTAATTTGTAATGATTCAGTAGACTAGTCTGTATGGCTGTTGGCTTACAGTGCATGCTGGAAATGCAAATCCAACCCATTTGTGTTTCTCAGATGCATTAAAATGAAAATATTTTTTTATGTAGGTTTCATTTGTATCTTCTGCTATTTGCCTGTTCAAGCTCTAAACCCTGGTTCTCTGTTGTGGATATCTGCCCTTCCAATTAGTCCACATTTGTTTCTTCATCATGCTATCTTGTATACATGAGAGGAAGCAGTATTCACCCATTATAAACACTGTCTGCAGATTTTTCTTGTGTTCCAAACATCCATTCATTTCAGTCAAGAGGTTTGGCAAGTCAGATGAGTGAAACAGTTTTGTTTTTTTCCTTTAAGAAGGAAGTCAAATGCATCTGTATATAAAAACGCTGTGTGTTTATTATGAGTAGAAATGTATTTCTTTATTTCACCCTCTGTCAGGGTTTGAAGTTTCCTTAACTGGTGGCTTGTCTTTTATAAAACCAGAGTGCAAGTTATCCTTTACTAGAAGGATCTTTTTCATACTATAGCCACTAGAGAAGTTAAAACCTGTGTAATTGATTAATAGGGATTATGCTTTTTTTAATGAATTTCAGTTTTTCAGTTAAACAAAAGCAACCAGCAGTGGTATTTTTCTTTGTTTAGCTGGGTTTAGCTTCCACCTATTATCGCCGTGGTTTTGTTGGATACAGGTGGTCCTAATGTTTTGAGTCCACTACCACAAACTCGATCCTTGGAGGGATTTTATTACTTCCTTTAATGTAGTGGAAAAAGACCCTGTTTTTGTGTGTGCGTTTTTAACAAAACACACACAAAAACAGTTGCCTTGAAGTGCTTTATATTTCAAGGTAAAACTATAGTAATAGAGAGAAAACCCCAACAATTACATGACGCCCTATGAGCGAGCACTTGGTGACAGTGAGAATGAAAAACTCCCTTTTAACAGGAAGAAATCTCGTGCAGAACCAGGCTCAGGGAGGGGCGGTCATCTGCCACACAACTGCTTGGGGTAATGGGAGGAAGATGGAGAAAGAGTATGCATTTATGGCGTATACATATTAAATATTTAAAGGTTTTTGGTAGTGGACAAACCTTATGCAGCACTGCATGTCAATAAAAATGTAGTTTATTTCTGCCAGATTTCATTCCTTTTTACTCAAGTTTTATTTCATATACAATAACTGAGACTTGTTGCAAGAGGTGCAATGAATATAGCCTCTTCACAGTATTTGTTTCTCATCACTGAAGAAGTGGATATCTTTGCTCATGTACATTAGCATCTGAAGGGTACAGTAACACATCTCCTGGTTATTTTATTTGAAAATGTGTGCAGTGCATTAAACAGTGGCCCTAATGTGAAGCCTGTTTTCACTGAGAGCTTGTCTGTATTTGCTTTTATTGGACTATTCGGCTGGGGAAAAAATGCTTCACATGGTAAATGCTGACCGAGAGAGCATTATTTAAATTTTGTCACAAATATGATTGTCATAATTATTATTTGAACTTTATTTGGGAGTTAACAGGTGTTAAACACTCTAGTTTTGCTTCTGTATGACAAAAGCTTTGTCTGCTTTGCTTTACTGGTCACCTGTCTTGAAATTAAAATTGTTTTGGACATGTGATCTCACACTGTAATAAAAATTTGTGAATGTACTCTGTGCAACTTTCATGTAATTATTTTTCTTAACCAAAGGCACACGTAGTTAAACTCCATAAAAGGACTCCGTTATAAAAATGGGATGCATTTGAGATGAGAAGATGTATGAACAGTTTTCTTAAATTATTATTTCTTAAATAACAAGAAGAAATGAAGTAAAGGGGTGGGGTTGTACATGCATCTTTTATTTATCAAGAAGTCTCTTTTTTTGTCATCATATGTCCAAAAATAACAGGAAAATGCAGATTTTTGTCAAATAAGCTAACCCAGAATCCCTGCTTTTACTGTGTGTGGACTGATCGCACTTAAACATGTAGTCAACCCACAAACGCCACTTCTCGGCCAGGAAAAGTCCTGCTAAATGTTTCCGAACATTTAAACACTGGAAAGTCCAGAAGTGCTGGTTTTTTTTTGGGGTTTTTTTTGTTTGTTTTTAAACTGGTATTACAAACACAGAATGTTATGAAGCAGGAAATGCACTCAGCAGATCTGTACATAATGCTCCTTGGTGAGAAATACTGAATTGAAATCTGTTTTCTCTTGAAGAAAGTGAGGTTTTATCCTTTATGATTGAAACCTTTCGAACAGCTACAGTTGTGTGGAAACTTTTCACGGGACTCAGGTCCTCCAAAAAACTAAGTACACCCTGAATGCTTCCACAGGAATTAAGTAGCAGCTAGGTGATGCTAATCAAATGCACTTGATTAATTGATTAACATCAGCAAGTGTGAGCAGCTCTTCTTTCTAAAAAGAATATGACAGCATGACTTAGCTTTGCAAAGTTGCATCAGAACAAACCACAGGAGTTCTGCAACAATGTCCTTTGGACAGATAAGACCAAAGCGGCCATAATGCACAGCACAGTGTTATCAGCATAAATCTTTCATACCAGCTGTCAAGCACGGTGGTGGAGGGGTGATGATTTGGGCTTGTTTTGCAGCCACAGTACCTGAGGACCTTGCAGTCACTGAGCCAACCATGAACTCTGTATACTAAAGTATTCTAGTGACAAATGTGAGGCCATCTGACTAGAATATAAGCTAAAGCTTGGCTAAAATTGCATACTCCAAGTGGACAGAGATCTCAAGCACAGCAGCAAGTCTACAACGAAATAGCTGAATTTTTGTTGTTGTTGTTATTATTATGACCGAGCCACAGTTCAGACATCAAGCTGATTAAAAGGCTACGCAGGACCTTAGGAAGGTTGTGCACTGATGAATAATGTAATGATGCAGTAATGTAATGTATATGTAAGTCATATAGAAAACAATGACTAGTTACTTCTGCAAGCCACTGAATCGTGGGGTGTATTTAGCTTTTGAAGGACTTCATAGTCATGTGACAACTTAGTTGAAAGTTTTTTCTTGCCTGCCATTTCCAAATAGAAGAAAAAAATTAACCATTCATTGAAGTTTATGTTAATATTGTTGTCATTAGCCTTTCAGCTAATACTATTTACCAATAAAATAAAAAATTAGTAGTCAAATGGGATTTTAAGGCAAAGGCACTTCTTCATATGTAATCCGCACATATGGAGGTTTCATTGGCAGATGCCAGTACTCAAAGTTGTAGTAGAGGTAGAAGCTCCTTTCCAACACGACCGTCTCAAAAGCCTCCAGCAGACTGATCATGGCATCTGCAAATGTCTGGTGTGGCCTAAATGTGTGGTAAAATTTACGGATGTCCAATGCCAGATTTTTCAGAGCAGGCTGTCCGAAAATGGCGCTGTCATTGCCGAGGTACGTGGGCTCTCCGCTGTACAGGTAGATCTTGGTGTAGTTGGTCTGTGATCGGCTGGATAGTTTGGCTCCCAGCTCTGTAAGCTTCCTGTATGTGCGGTGGACAAACTGGGAACAGTCATAGGATTCGAACCACACCGTGGCGTTGGGGCTGGGGTCAGACCGAACTGCCCACGTCTCGTAGTAGATCCCAGTCTCGTTGTCCTCCTGCACCCAGCGGGCCATGTCGTTGAACTGCTGCCCTGGAGAATTAAAGAAAAACATGTTAATACCAGAAAAAAATGGGTGTGAAGCAGAAAGTCCAAGAAGACAAGAGTGTAAAAAACATTTTATATGTTCGAGGCATTTAATTCTTGGATGTGCTCTAGCTCTCCCTAGACAAGACAAGCTATCAGTCACAAAACCAGAACTGCCTGTTTTGGGTTTTGGAAGCTATCCAGGGCCTCCTGAAGCCAGTGAAACAGTCAATGCAGAATTTCTGTTTCAACATGCTGTCTTTCTACAGTTTTCATGATTACCAAGTACCCTGGATGTGTATCTGACTCAATACAAAGTACAAATTTTGTAGTTTTACAACTACAAAAGCAAAATAAGCTGTTTCAGGGTCATGCTCTGCAGGATATATTTGTAGTAAAATCCACATTATCACCAGTCATATCCACTGATGATGTAACATATCTAGTTTTATCTCGGCTTCTCTGTGCACAGATGTCAAGTCTTACCTGTGATTACTCCAATTTTCTCTAAGGTGCCATTCTGTGACCAGTGTAAATCATCGATGCCTTCAAAGAAGCAGGCAGCTCCCTGGTTGCACCAGAAAGGTGCGTACACGTCTTGTCTGAGGTGAGGAAAAGTGCAGTTGCAAAGCTGAAACAGCTCGTACCACTCCATGGTGTAGTTGGCTCCTGTCTCTGCACTGCTGAACCCAACAGCATCATGCATGATGTGCTGTAAAGAGAACAGAAACATACTCTGGTTTTATGTGTGTGTGTGTGTTTCTATGAATAATGTAGCTGCAGCTTCACTTCTGTTTTAACAGAGGGACTATTTTTATTAGCCAGAACACAGCGGCCCCTTCACTTCTGTTTTAGAGAATAAAATATTAAATACGAAAAGAACAATGTGCCCTGGTGCTTTTTGCTTTATCCCTGACTTGTAAAAAGACATTTCAGAATTCAAATTACACACTTACAAACTTTCCCAGCAAACTTCCATACTTGAATTCCCACACTGGAGTCTGCAGCCGATACACCGAGATGGTGTCGCTGTCTCTCATGTAGGGAATCCGTCCATCTGGGTCTCCGGTGGGGCAGAACGGATAGAGAGCTTGACAGTAAGAGTCCACATCAGGCCGACGATCGAAACGCCTGTGGGTGACATGAGACACGTCAGATGGTTGGTCAAGGTTAAAGTCACTGCGAGCCCAAAGCTACTTCATGTTGCTCTACAAAAATGAGCATATTATCCTAAATAATATGTTATTTAGGATAATATTTCAACTCAAATATGAACTAGCTGTGACACTGTTTTAATTTATACTAAAATGTAAATAAAATTATGTTATAATTTGCAAACCTCAAAAAAAAATGTATTCACAATACAACTTAGAAAGTATATCAGACGTTGTAACTGACAAGACTGTACCAATTTAGGGGGAAAAAAATTGGGATGGGGGCAACAAAAGGCTGGAAAAATAGGTTAACAGCTGGAAGAACATTTTGCAGCTAATTAGGTTAAATGGCAACAAGTCAGTAACATAATCGGGTCAAAAAGAGCTTCTTAGAGAAAAGTAAAGACGGGGAAAGGTTCACCAATCCCCAAAACAAGCTGTCTACAAATTGGGAACATTTTCAGAATAATGTTCCTTAGTGTAAATTCAACCTTTCAATCAACAACACACAAGATCATCCAAAGATTTGGAGAATCTGGAGAAATCTCTGTGCACAAACACCAAGGTCAAAACTCAATACTGAAGCACTGCATTAAAAACAGGCATGATTCTTTCATGGAAATCACTGCACAGGCTCAGGAACACTTCCAGAAATGGATGTCTGTATCACCATACCATCCACAAATGCAGGTTAAAGTGTAGAAACAGCCAGAAATGCAGCAAAAATTTCTGGCACATCCACTTTAGATGAACTGCTGCCTGCTGATGACAGAAGGTCACAGAGCCATTACATAAATTTTTGTGGCGCGTTTTTGGAAATGTATGAAACCCACTCCACTAATTCTGCTGCACAACTGAGATGCTCCAGATTCCAACATTTTTAAGTCACGTGAACGTACCACGAATACTTCCTCGGGTTGCTGTCTAAAACAAGGCTTTATTGGGACAACAAGAACACACAAAATCACAAAATGTCTTCTTAACATGTCAGTGAACGTGTAACATCGGAACAGACACGCTTTCTAGGAAAAAAACATAAAAGTTGCGAACTTTGTACTGATCAAAACGGACTAAGCGACCATTCGTAATTGAAAACGAGGTTTATTTGATCGCCTTTTCCAGTTTTCTTCATTATCTGTCACATGATTTAACGCTAAAGAGCGGCGTGAACGTGGAAAGGTGTGCGGTCTTTATACCTGTAGGGTACGGGCCACTTCTGCTGTCCATTAATCCTGAACTGAGCGACGACGTGCAGAAAGAGGAGCAGTTTGAATCCCAGAACGACCTCCGTGTAAAACATGTCAAGGCCGTAAAAACACAAACACCAAAAAAACAGCAGTTACGAAGAGGACTATCTTCCCATGACTCACCGCCTCTAACTTCCTCATTACAGATCACATGGTTTTGTTGATGATACCAAATCACATGACCACACCAGACAAGAATATGGGGCGCCGTTTGTAAACTGAAACATGCTGAAATTAATGGCAATTTTTCCACATTTAGCTAAAAACCTTTCTAAAACATGTTTTTTGAGTCATGTTTTTTTTTTTTACAATATTTACCAAAATATTTGTAACCTTTATATTTAAAACACAGTTTTAGCAGTTCAATCTAAGTATTACTCAATTATTAAAAAGCTGTAGTGCTCAGGTGAGGACACACGATGGCGTAAGAGGGCGCGTCAAACTATTTTTTAAAGCGCAGAAGAAGAAGCGGCATCCGGGGGCGTTTTGTCCGCTGACAGTCCGCCATGCTCAGTCTTCTGCAGCACTGTGGTCGCAACTTACTGACAGCTAGGACCCTCCAGACCGTGAGCAGCAATTATTATTCAGCGCAGATGGGCAAACGCGTGGCTGTGGTGCTGGCGGGCTGCGGCGTCTATGACGGCAGCGAGATCCACGAGGCCTCCGCTGTTTTGGTCCATCTGAGCAGAGGGGGTGCGACTGTAAGTGTGACACGCTGATTTTATCTGCCGCTGCCCCTGGAGGGACCACATCAGAAATGTTCATTAGCTTCCAGTTTGTCCGCTTACACTGCTCCGTGCGGGGCAGTTTCTACGATTTTTGCACTTTTTATTTGCAGTCCGACCCGTGAGCGTCCTTTGACCTCTACCTGTTAACCAGACTGCGCACAGTGACACGAACAGCCTCGCAGAATGTTTTGTGCAAACTGCTGAATAATAAACGACTGAAATGCACCGAAGTATTTAAAGTTCCTTAACCTCAACAGTTATCTGCCCCCAAGAAAAAAAACACCCAACTCTTAGTAAAGCTTATCTGGTCCGCCATGTTTATTTGTTTATTTTTTGCCAGTAAGTATGGTGTGCTATTATTTGTGTAGTAAATGTTTCAAGCTGTGGTGGGTCTTTTAGAGTAATTGCTGAGGGAAAATGCTGCACTCTGCTGAACAAACTGTGTCCTGACATAACAAGATTTTTGCTGCTGACACCATCATTTTCTCCATTATTCCCAGAGAAATTAAGTTTTCATATTTGACAAATGCACCAGTACTTATATGTTTTATAGCCGATAACAGCCTTCACTGGTTAAGCAGGAAGGATGCCACATCTGAGTTTAATTGGTTGTTTCTTATAAGGCAACTCTTTCATTATTTGGACGTTTGAAAGGGTCCCTGAGGCAGCCAGTTTGATCAGTATATGGTCCTGTCTGAGCTGCTGATGGGCAGCTTCAGTGAAATGTGAAGGCCCGTGTACTTTCAGCAGCTCTCTGTACCGGCCTTAAAGGAATGGTTTGTAAAAGTCCAGAAAACGGGCCCAGAGAGCGTGATAGTGTGTCCTTTTTCTTACCAGCAGTGCAAACCTCTAAATGGCCAAGTGACTTTTCCAAGCCTTTCAACTCTACCTATGTGTGCAGTTAAATCTGTTTATAAGTGTTGCAGTTTTGGCTGGAGCACTCTGAGGAAATTAATTCAAAAACTTATCACATTAACTTAGAGCCTCTGAGTGGAAGCATCCACCTGGTGTCTATTTAGCGCTCTGCATGTAGAGGTGCAAGCTGACCATGATGGGATTTTAATTTTATTTATGTTTTAATGAGACTTCTTTTAGTTTTGAGGCTTGAGGCGTTTCTTCATTTCTGTTAGTAATATAACCAATCGTAACCCTCCAGCTGGACTAATCAGTCACCAAAGCAACTGGTCAGGCATATCTCATAACAGAAATTTTTTTCCTGCCTATTAAAAGGTTTGGTGCTCTTCAAAGAGCCACCAGTAACAGAAAAGCACACATACTTTTCTGTTAGAGGTAACCCTCTATAAGACATGCATTGAAACACTTTCTTCTCTCGTGTGTTAGGACTTCAGTTTAGTAATACTAAGTGGTTACAACTATTAATATCACTATATTATTGTTATTACTACTTTGATTGGTGTAAGAGAATTTCTCAATTATGCAACATGTCTTATTACTGCACATTACAAGTTGCTACCTTGTTACAAATTGCACTCCTTAGAGTCCATACCTCATATTTACCCTACATATTTAAGGACCTAGCTAACCCCTCACAACAACAATGGTAGATAAATGTTTAAAAACAGAGCTGCCTTCATCCCGTGAAAGATTTCTCTTTTTCCCTCAAGGACAGAAATGACAGTTGGGACTGGAAATTTTCTCAAATTCCTCTTACAAAGTTTCATTTTCAGGAATTAACATGGAATGACCCAGACACATGTCTCAAGCTTACAAGAGTAGTCATCAGTCAAAGGTCCACTATGAGTCAGGGAAAGTGTTGCGAAATGCAGATATTCTTAGGTTTTGAAATGCTGCTCTGACAGAAGTTCTGTTGAGTTAGCTTCAAGATTTGTGATGTTAACAATCATTATTAGTTGCCTGGTGTGCTTTTTTTTTTTTTTTTTTTTTGAACTCGTCTCTGCTGCTTTTATCACCTCCAGGTGAACATGTTCGCACCCAATATTGACCAGATGCATGTGGTAGATCACCTGAAAGGTGCGCCTTCTCAGGAAAAGAGGAATGTGCTGGTGGAGAGCGCAAGGCTGGCCCGTGGAAACATCCAGGATCTGTCTAAGCTCAGCGTGAAAGAGCATGACGCTGTTATTTTCCCAGGTTTGTGTTCATATGTATTTCGCTGGTACAATCGAAGCCTACAGAAAAAAGATGTTGGGAAGGTCTGAGTAAGGTCGAAACTGAAAGTTGTATTTCTGGCTTATGTACATCCAGACATTAATCACACCTCTTCCTCATTTTTTGATGTTTTACAGGCGGCTTTGGAGCTGCGAAGAATCTCTGTACGTGGGCAGTGCAGGGCAAGGACTGCTCTGTAAATGACGAGGTCAAGGCTGCTCTGCAGGCGTTCCACAGCGAAGGCAAACCCATCGGCCTCTGCTGCATCTCACCTGTGCTGGCTGCCAAAGTGATCCCCGGGTGCGAGGTCACCGTCGGCATCGAAAAGGACGACAAGTGAGAAATGCAACATGGACTTCCTTGTTTGCGTTTTAAGTTTGGACTTTTAAATGTTGCAATTGTTGTGTGCAAACAGTTGTTTCCAGAGACTACCACGTGCTGGTCTGCCTGTCCTGTTGCACAATTTCTTCCTGTTTCCATGACAAATTAATTTGATTACAGTGTTAGATTAAAAAAAAGGACTTAGGAGAGGATCCGTCTTTGTCAGAGTGGTGGCTGACTGACACTTGGACCAATTGATCGGTTGACAGATGTCAAAGCCAACAATCAGTTGAGATCATGATTTTGTTTACAGGCAAAATAATATTATAAAATTATTTAAAAAAATTAACAGAATAGAAGAAAAAATGTACCATGTAAACATTTAATCTGGCCGATGTCTTCTTGCAAGTGTGCTTTTACATAAATGTGGCTGATACCAGTAACCAATGCGTGTTTCAGTAGATATCTGATTTGGATGCTAGTTATTTTTCCCCTTTGTGCTGGGTAAACAAAGGTCTTTCTTATAAAATATTGGCTGTTTTGAGTGATTTAGCTCTTCAACACACAGTCTTTGACCGTGTCTACATGCCTAAATGTTGCTGTAATGTGATTGGCAGATTAGATATTAGGTAGTTAATGAGTGAGACCCACTGGTGCACTGTGCAGGATGCTAAATATTTGATTGACTGGACAATCACTGGTGTGTTTGTGTAAATAGGAAGCAAAAACTGTTGGGTTCTTTCCATGTTAAGGTGGAAAGTCCCTCTGTAAATGCAGTTTGCAGGCATAATTGATGCATCTCCAAAACATATAAATATAAATTTCCAGTTGTTAAAAGCAAAACCTCAAATGTTCCTAAGATGTTTGCAGAAATCTGCTTTGAGCAGCAAAACATTAAGTAGTGCCTCTTCTCCCCCACCTCTCAGGTATCCAGACACCGCTGACACTGCAGCGGCCATCAACCAGCTGGGCTGCAAGCACGTGAGCAAGGGCGTCGGCGAGAGCCACGTGGACGAAAAGAACAAGCTGGTCACCACCTGTGCCTTCATGTGCAACGCTCCGATCCACGAGATATTTGACGGAATCGGATCGATGGTCCAGGGCGTCCTGAAACTCGCCTGAGTGTAATCAGTAGAAGGTCGAAACAAGGAAAAGACTTTTGCAAGCTGTGCGATAGATGTCTGCTGAGCTGGTTGCAGAATGGTGTTGAAGTGATTAAAAGCACTAAAAGATAATCTAGAGTAGCAGAACTGAGCTCCTTGTGAGCTGAATTTTTGAGTTTGCGTGTCAGTTTTACTGCTGCTGTCGTGGCTCCGCCCCACATCTGTCACATTTTAGAGAATCAGCTGCAGGTGAGGATAATGTTCTCAGAAACAAATAAATAAATAAACGAATACAAGAAAAAAGGTTCAGTTTATTTCTGACCACAGAAGAGAAAAAAGTATGTACAACATATTTACACGGTTATTATTTAATTCGTACTTTCTTGAAAAGAATACAAAGCTTCATATAAAGATATGAGTGTGTAATTACAAAATCCTCATTCTGTCAAGGTGCTCTTGATTACTTGTCATTCTCAGATATGAACCCAATATTGAGCAATCTGCCACCCTTTCAATGTTTCCTATAACATCAATGACCCCCTCCACTCCCTCTGTGCACAGCACAGACGAAGCATTCACACTGAACTTATCCACCAGGTGCTTCAGAGTCAGCGGCTTCCTCCAGTGGCCGTAGAAAGTGTCACATCTGGCTGTGTAGCTCGGCCCCTGGTGCGTCGCTATCTCGACCTCGCAGTACATCTTGTCAAAACTGGGCAGGTTATCTTCCGGCGTCTCCAAGCTGACTTTGCCCAGGAGCTCCTTCAGAGCAGATCGGCCGATTTGAGCGTCGCCGAAAGACGCCACGGTCACCTTGTTATCCAGCAGTGCGGTGCAGGCGTTGAACTGGAACGAGTGCCTGGCTTGGTGTTCTGTGGCAGGTAACGGGCAGTTAACGTACTTGGATGGAGGCACCCGAAGTGTGACATGCCGGATCTGGCTGAGGTCAAATTTGCCGACTGCGTTTTGGAGCTTTTCCCGGGCTGCTAGAGCTGCATCGACAACCCAGTGCATCCCGAGGTGAGCGGGGATGCGTTTGAATGCCACGTCCTGATCTTCCAGAATCCATTTATATGCTCTCACAGCAGAATCCGCCATAGCGGAGGGACTGTAGTCTTTGTAGTAAACACCAAGCCCTCTGTCCAAATCCAGTATGGCTGGATTTCCCTTCAGTCCTATCTGGGCCAGCCGAGCGGCCTCTAGGCCTCTCCGAGCAGCGTTTCCAATGTGGAGAGGTTTGGTCTGTGTGGCAGCGTTGGCTAAAGGCGCCCCAGCAGAGGAGGCTGCTATGGCAAGAGCATGAATGCACTGTTCAGGGGACAGACCGAGGAGCTTAGCCGAGGCTGCAGCGCTGCCCATCACTCCAACAACACTGGGAGGGTGGAATCTGAGAAGCAAAACAACAAGATTTACTCAAGCGTGACATAGTGATTCTGATTAACTGGAATCACTGCTTCATTAATCAAACAGTTCATATGTATTTTAATCATCAGTTTAGTCATTTTTAAAGGTTTTTGTGATTTCTCCTTATAAGGTATTTTCATGTGAGCACAAACCAGAACCCAGTCACCACATCCACCTCTGAAACCCAAAATGAAACCAAAACTGTTTTCTTGGCTTGACAGCACTAGGTACTGGTGAATCAAATGCTCTAGTCTTTCTAATCTAAATGAGCTGGAGAATAAATTTATTCCAGAGCTGAAAATATTTCCAAAATTGATACCTTTCAGGGATGTTGTAGGCTTCTTTGGAGAACCTCATCAGTCTGCCTTGAACTTCAATGCCAACATTGAAGGCTAGCAGGAGATCTAGACCAGAGGGCTGGCTGGGAAGTGTCTCTGCCAGGGCCAGCAGCGCAGGTAGGACGGCACCCGAGGGATGAGTCGCAGGGTGCCAAGTGTCGTCAAAGTCCATGGAGTGAACCTAATAGACAGTCAGGCAAAGACGTGATCAGGGATCGAAGCAGAGCTGGATCATAATTCCTGTTTTCTGCAGATTTTTGCTTTTGTATAAATCCAAACTTACAGCGATGCCATTAACAAATGCAGCATAATGAGGAGGCAGAATTATATCTGATTGACCCCAAACGCTGCTCCTTTCCCGCGATGTGAACAACTGGAGGCACATTAATATGAGTATAAATGACATATCAACAATAACTAGCAGCAGAAAGAAGATTCTAATCACAAACCGGACTGTTAAAGAAGTGCAAGACTTGACTGGATAATCAGTCATCAACATGTTATGGAAAACAACTTAATAATTTGTCAAGATTGCAATCAGGGCACAAATGAAGCGAGTTAGTTAGCAGGACCGATCGTATGTAAAGGAAATCCACCGATGAGCAGAAGAGTATTTTAATTTCAGCTGCACAAACAACCTCTGATGAGTCCATATAAAGATTTTTATGTGATCACTGACAATAGATACAGAGTACTCATGTATTACTAGTTACTGTGTAGAATTAAATGAGCATCTTCTACATCTACCCACATCATAAGCAAATATTTGTCAGCAGTTGTTTTTGCAGTTATAGGGTAAATGCAGTTCACTGTACCTGACTGTACTTCAGAGCCTTATTGAAGACAGCTGTTCTGGTTCCTAATAGTCCGACACCGAGGGTGTCCAGCATCATCCTTTTGCTCCTGTTAATCACACCATCTGTCAGCTGTGAGGTGTTGAGGGCATGGATCCCAGCTCCAAAGCTCTCTGTGATACCCTGAAAAACATTCCACGGGGCTAGTCAGTTCAAATCATGCAGACTTCTCCAGAGAAGGTGCAGCTTATTGTGGCTATAATCAAGTTAAGATGCTAAGCTATACTGCAGGTCACCAAAAGCCAAAAATACTTTCCAAAAGGTGCCTTTATTAAAGCTCATACAGCAACCAACAGTACCTTGCGAAGCATTGTTCAGTCTTGACAAGCTCTTCAAGTGACTAAACATCCAAGCATAACTGGCTTTTATAATTACTCTGTCTGAGGGCTGGACTGCCAAATTTCCAAAGTGGCTAAAAACCCACTAGGATGAGAAGTGGGAACTTTCGCAATGACTCAATGCTGTCTTTTCATTTATGCTGGTTGCCAGTGCACTGGGGAGTCTGCACAATCTGCACACAACAAAATCTTGTGACAGCTGATTTTGAAATTGACAACATTTTCTGTGTTTTAGTTTTCTGTGTTTTAGTAGGCACACATGATTCAATCACACGACTTAAAATAAAATGTTGCCCCTAAAACTGTTAGACTGCTAAACTCGATCCCACAGTAACTATATTCATCCTACATATCGTTAGCTTCATAGCATAAGTGCCTAAGTCATTTTTTTGTGTTTTGTGTTTCAGACGGACAGGATGATGCAGCAGTGGTAGGGGAGTAAAGTTAGGCAAAAATCTCAATTTGACCAAAAAATGACTTAGGCACTTATGCTATGAAGCTAACGATATGCAATTTTCTTCTGTCCAATTCAATCTCCTGCTCCTCTGGACACACACCCTTATGTACACTTTATAACTCACAATGTAAATAACTTGTGCAAGTGCACTGATCTACTGCTCAGACTCATTTTATCAGCCCTCAGATATATGCATTACATATACATAAACTCATGTTCAGTCCAAACATGCAATATGCTTATTCTTGTGTCCAATCTTACAATTCAATTCAATTTTATTTATACAGCGCCAAATCACAACAACAGCCACCTCAAGGCGCTTTATAATGTAAGGTAGACCCTACAATAATACATACAGGGAAAAACCCAACAATTTTGGGTTATATATTTATAGATGCATGTGTGTGTGTGTGTATATGCAGATATATACTGTATGTGAATATGTAGTTGTGCACATCCACACACATACACTAATTCAACTTTCATAATGGTGCCCAGTAATGGAAATTCATTGATGTGCAAGGGGAAGTTTATAAATGCAGAAATGAAATAGGTGAAAATCACGTGATAAAGAGTTTTTCATTTTCAGCCGCTGATTATTGAACCAAAAGCTGTGGCTTAAGTTTTATTGTTACCAGTTGCTCACAACTGCAAACCCCAAATCTCCATTTGGTCCAGTTTGCATATAAATGTGGGCTTATTAATGGTTATCACTGATTGTTATTTGTTTTCCGGGTAAACTCTGATGGTAAACCAAAGTCTTTGAAGAAATGAAAGTGAAACAAATTCATCCATTTCATGTAAAAATGAGGAAAACTTGGTTGTGTTTCTCTCTTTTCAAAAAGATTAGTTTACATGGAAGGGCTTAATTATGTAATTCCATAATGTGCTTCCTTTCCAGCTGCTCTTTTTGTATTATACAGATTAAGCTGATACACTATGTAACATTTTGCTCAGATTTGTGTAATTATGTCCAAGATAAAGCTGAATAAAACGTTCTACCTAACTAAATTTAAAAAAATAAAGATACTGTGCTCTTAAAAACTGCAATAACATAAAAATCTATAAGAACAAGGCTTTGGTGGATCACTCTCCCTGAGACAGGTAAGAGCATTAGAGTCACAGTCATGTGGACCACATGACTGTGACTCTAATGCTCCGTGCTTTCACAAAATGGTGCAACTTTGAAACTTCCTAAATGTCACCCATGGCCAAAATATCCCACAACACACACTCAAGAAAATCACCACCAGCAATATCCTAAAAGAAGCAAAGCAAATATTGCACTGGATGATTATTAAATGTGTTTCTGGCATATTTTTGCTTGTAAGTGACTTAATGAGAACTTTAGTTTGTAGACAGAAAGTCAGTCATTTCATTACTATAGTTTAAGTTTAAGATTTGTAATAAGTTAGGGGTTATATTAATGTTTTATGCATCTATCTTGCATGTCACATAGTGCAATGTGACTGATTTCTTATGTATATGGCAAGAATTTTAGACACTACTTCCTCTATTGTAGCTTAAATGTTTTTTTATAGTGTTTGCCCATGATTGATGTCTGGATTTGTGTTCACTGACTGCTCTGCCTTCATGTAATTCTTGGGACTGTGTAAACAGCCTGCCATGTCTGATTCTCCTAAGAGGTTGAAATTGAATGTGCCTTGTGTTGTTTTATGTCTGGCCCCCGAGACTGGCTCAGGTTTAGTATAACATGCTCCTGCACAACAATAAGCTGGTTCTCTGCCTAGATTACACTAGAATTAAAGCTATCACTCCTTCCGTTTGGTTTTTCTCATTTTCTCATTTTGTTTAGAAAGTATACTTAGGTATCACAGGTTTGAATTTATTCTTTTAAAAAGGTTTTACTCAATTAATAAATTATACCCATCAGAACCTTTTATCTGTGACTCAA